GGGACAGCGCCCAGATCCAGGGTTCAAGCCTCACAACTGACACACACAAAAAAAGGTTGAGAACACAGCTCAATAGTAGAGTGCTTGCCTAACATGCAGGAGCTTCTGAGGGAGAAGGGTAGGACCAAATATATCCCTTCTAAAAAGAAAACGTAAAATGTTTGGGGGGCTCCTGGGCTCATACTTGTAATCCTAGCTATTCAGGAGGCTGAGATCTGAAGATGTTTTTGAAGTCAGCCCAGGCAGGAAAGCCCACAAAAGTCTTATCTTGAGCTAACCATCAAAAAGTGTGATATAGAACTGTGGCTCAAGAACAAAAGTGCCGAAGGACAGCGCCCAGGCCTCAGGTTCAAAATTGCCCAGGGACAGCGCCCAGGCCTCAGGTTCAAAATGCCCAGGGACAGCGCCCAGGCCTCAGGTTCAGAATGCCCAGGGACAGCGCCCAGCCCCCCGGTTCAAGCTCCAGGACAGGCACACTGAAGAGGAAAAGAAGGAACTTTTTCCAAAAAATGGAAAGTTTCAGTTTTAAAATGCCAGAGTGACCTGTGCCATTTCATTTGATCAGTAGGACCCTAAGTCTTAGATAGCTCAAATGTATAATTCCACAGTCTTCTATGTCTTTTTTTTAAATTAAGGGGTCATACAGCCCATATTAAAATAATATAGAGAAGTCACAAATGCAGTTTACTTGTTCTATACTACTTTAATTTTGTAACACTGGAATTTCACTGCCGTGACTCGGTTTAACCCACTGTCTCCTACCTACCCTACCCTGAACTTCTCAACCATTCTTGTTCAGCACTACTACAGTTCCTGGTATCCTACCTGTGTCCACAGACTCTGATACCTGTGCATCCATGAATCCTTAGCAATTCAAGCTGCTTTTACTTGTCCAGGTCTTTGATGGATTTGGGTGGTGGGAAAATACAAACTCCCTTAAGGATCCCATCCTAAAGTTCAGCAGCATTTGTTGTTGTTGTTGTTTTGTACTAAGGACTGGACGTGGGGCCTGTCTGCTGCAAGGCAGGTGCGCTACCACTTGAGCCACTTGCTCTGTCCGCTCTTCTGTTTTTCGAACAATGTCTCTAGCTGACGAGGCCTACACGGCATTCCTGATGTCCTCACTCACCTCCTGGAGTTAATTCTCAGCCACTGGAATCAATTGTAATTTTTGTCATATATAGGTCATAATTTCCCAGGGTTTTTTCTGCTAGGTTGGATGATGTTCCATTGCTAATTAACCCACAAGAAGTAAGACTTAAGGGGTGGCTCAAGTGGTAGAGCATCAGCCATGAGCAAACAATCTGAGCGAAAGCTTGAGGCATCAAGTTCAAGCCCTGGAACTGGCTAAATTAAAACAAACTGGCTAGTGATTTCCATTATTGGACAGTATAGTTTAGGGAATGCCTTTATCATAATGATCTCGTACACACTCAACTTTGACATCTTCAGTACAACACAAAAATACTTCTCAGTACCCACTGCCATTACTGTCATCTCTACTTCTTCACTTCCTGTTTGTTTTTGCAAAAGATTTATGCCCCCATAAAATCCGTATCAACTTCTGCTGCCAGTCTACAGAAATTGCAAATCTAAATCACAGACATCTGGCTCTGGGTTATTTATCTTATTTTGTATCTTCTCAAGTCAACATCCTGGGTTTCTTCTTTGGTAGTCAGCTACTGCATTCCTTCACAGACTGTTTTTACTGTCTATTATGTGCCAGAACTTCAGGTTGTGATTTTTGTTGTTGTTGTTGGTTGTGGGGCTTGAACTCAGGCCTGGGCGCTGTTCCTGAGCTGGGTTTCTTTGGTAGTCAGCTGGTGCATTCCTTCACAGATGGTCTTTACTATTATGGTGATTTAAAAGAAAGTTGGGGTTGTTTTTTGTTTTTTTTTTGGTCTGTCATGGGACTTGAAATCAGGGCCTGGGCGCTGTCCTTCAGCTCTTCAGCTTAAGGTTAGCACTCTACCACTTGAGCCACAGCACCACTTTCCGGTTTGGAGATCAGTCTTATGGACTTTCCTGCCCGGGCTGACTTTGAACTGCAGTCCTTAATCTCAGCCTCCTGAGTAACTGGGATTACAGGTGTGAGCCACTGGCACCCCGCTGTGCTATATACTTTTCCTGAGCTTTGGACAGTCTCATGCTGTGTATTTTCCTGAGCACCCTCGCCCAGGTGCGTGACTCCAGCCCCACTGTGGATGAATATTACTTCTTCCATGGTGCTGTGTCCATACATTCCTCATAGATCACACCCTGAGATCCAGAAGTCTCACAAATGCCACTGGTTTGCTCCAGATTTGCTAGATTGCATCCCCTTTTTCTAAATCCTACCCTTCATTTAAAATGTTGAGAAATGCTTTGATAACATTTTAATTGCATTTTCTTTCATCACTTTTGATGGAAAATGTCTGAGAGAGATCTTAGTGCTTTTGCTTCAGCTTAGCCCTGATTCCACCCTACTTCAAGAAGCTTCTGCATTGGCTCTGTTTAGTAGCACTTTCAGTGATGATAGAAATTTCTACATTTTCATCTGTCAGTAGGATAACTACTAGCCGTGTGTAGTTCTTTTTTTATTTTATTTTTTATTTTTATTTTTTCCGTGTGTAGTTCTTGAGCTCTGAAAATGTGGTTTGACTGGGGAACTAATTTCATTTGGATGTTGTAGGGGAGAGCAGGACACTGTGTCCCTTTGTTTTCTTGGCTGGGTCTAACTTCCTGGATTCAGGATCCTCAACCTCTTGAGTCCCTGGGATTTGAAGATTTGAACCTCGATCCTCAGATTCTAGCCTCTTGTCCAGGCTGGACTGGCACCACCAGAGTACCAAGGGAGGAAGGGGGAAACCATGGTTTTAGAAGAGACCTGCTTCCTTTTCCTTCCTTCCTTCCTTTCCTCCTTCCCTCCCTCCTTCCTTCTTTTTTTCCTTCCCTTCCTTCCATTCCTTCCTCTGGGTTCCAGTACTAGGGGTTGAACGCAGGGCTTGGGTAATTTCTCTTGGCTTTTCTGAAAGGGTGTTCCTTTACCACTGAGCTATACCCCCACTTCCTGCTTTTTGGTGGTTAATTGGAGGTAAGCATCTCATGATAGACTTTACAACCCCAGCTGGTTTCAAACTGTGGTCCTAGATTTCGGCTTTTGAGTAGCTAAGATTAGAAGCATGAGCCGCTGCTAGCCAGCTGCCCTGCACTGGTCCGCAGCCCTTCACTCAGCAGGCATCTCTGACATGGGTGGAGTCAGGGAGCCCAAAGGCTCCACGAGCAAGAAATTGGATATTATTATATTATCTAATATAATGTTGTTGACCGTTTTCTCTGCTGTTTTCCTGTTTTGCTTCTGTCTTCTACCATCTATTCTAGCTTACACTTATTCTGCCTCCTATTCCCACTTCTTTTTGGGAGGAGGATGGGCTTGAACTTGGAGCCTGGCCACTGCCCTGGAGCATCTTTGCTCTACCACTTGAGCCACAGTGCCACTTTCAGCTTTTTGATGGTTAATTGGAGAAAAGAGTCTCACAGGCTTTCCCCTCCCAGCTGGCTTTGAACCGTGACCCCCAGGTCTCAGCCTCCTGAGTAGCTAGGGTGACAGGCGTGAGCCACCAGCGCCCGGCTCCTTCCCCCATTTCTTTTGCCGTCCTGCTTCTTCAGGTAGTGATCACGTATCTGGTCCGTTGGGCCAGCTCTGCACTATTTTTGTTTTAGTTCTACCGATTAACCTCTGTTGCTATCTCATTCTGCTTAAGATGCAGGCAGAGTGGGGGCGCTCACTTCAATGCCTGGCATCTCCACGCCAAGTGCTGTCCACGCCTAAGCAGAGGTAAGCCACTCACATGACAGTGGCCTTCAGTGCGTCCCCGTCTCTCCCCTCTTCAAACGGTGGTTTCCAGTCAGTTTGGGACATTTGCCCTGGAACCCACACCAAGACTACGTGGCGCCTCAAAGCCCAGTACTGCCCAGTGGACCGTCAGAATGCTCTTTGCAGAGCCTGGAGCCGCGGGGAAGCAGGCTTTGTATTCACAGCCGGTGGCTTTTTGATGTGAACGGCCCATTGTGTCAGCTGCGACTTTGTCTTCTCAGACCTGTGGAGTGAGTGATCCAAGAGCCAGTTGGGTTCATAACTCCAGGTCTCTCACCTCTTCTGTGTCAGTCTTATTCACTCTTTGCTGTGACACAATACCGGAGAAAATCCACTTAAAAGACAAAACGTTTATTTTGAGTGATGGTGTCAGAGGTCTCTTCTTATCGTGGATCGCCTCCGTGGCTTTGGAGCCGAGTGGGGCAGAATGCATTGCAGTGGGTAGGAGGTGACGGAGCAGAGCCTCATCTCAGGGCAGCAGAAAGCGGAGAGAGGAAGAAAGGGTCTTCTGGGGGCGATATACCCTCTTCCAAGGGATGCCCTCAGGGCAAGCAAACCCGTGAAACTGCAGCATTCCCTCAACCACCCTGCTGGTAGAACACCGCTGCACTAGGCCAGACCCTTCGAGCCTTCCCGCTTTCTCAGGATAGACCCAGGGTCCTATGTCTTGTCCTGCCAGAGCCTGGCTCCAGTGCTGTCCCACATCGCTCTGCTGGAGCGTGAGTGCAGGCATCATGCTCAGTAGAGAAGGGGGTGTGTGGTGGGGGAGGGGGGACCCTGGGCTCTCAGGTTCACGGCGGGCGAGGGCCTGCATTTATACTGCACTCTGGCACATTCTAACAGTCTGCTTTCAGAGGAAGCCAAAATTCCTGCCTCCAGTGCTAAGTATTTGCTCTGCCATACATGCTTCTTTAGAACTCCGCTGACCCCTTTCTTCAGGAGGACTAACGCAGTCTGGCTTCGCTAGAGCCCTTCTTGCCTCCATGCTGCGTTCCTTGTAATCCCAGGAGCCAGGATATGGGGCATCTCCTCACACCTTCTCGGTACCTGGGGGCTGGTGTCCCGGCTCAGAGGAGGAGCTCACTGCTCCTGCCGAGGAGGCGGACCCCAGGGACTCAGGGGCAGACACCCCGGGACAGGCCTCCTCTGGGGCAGCTGGGAGCAGCGCCGGGTGGCTTTTGCTGCAGTGAGCCGCAACGCTGCCTGGCTTCTCGAAGCGCTTGCCGCAGAAGTCGCATGGGAAGCGCAAGGTGGCTGCTGTCTCTGCATGCTTACGCCGGTGCCAGTTCAGGGAGGCCTTCTGGCGGCAGGTGAACCCACAGATCTCACACCTGCAGCAGGGCGGGGAGGGAAGGAAGGGGCTTCGGGCTCCAGGGATTCCTCCTGTACCCCACTGCCAGGCTGCCAGTGCCGCCCCCACGGCCTGACACCCACTGCCAGGCTGCCAGTGCCGCCCCCGTGGCCTGACACCCACTGCCAGGCTGCCAGTGCCGCCCCCACGCCCCCGACACCCACTGCCAGGCTGCCAGTGCCGCCCCCACGGCCTGACACCCACTGCCAGGCTGCCAGTGCCGCCCCCACGGCCTGACACCCACTGCCAGGCTGCCAGTGCCGCCCCCACGGCCTGACACTCACTGCCAGGCTGCCAGTGCCGCCCCCACGGCCTGACACCCACTGCCAGGCTGCCAGTGCCGCCCCCACGGCCTGACACTCACTGCCAGGCTGCCAGTGCCGCCCCCACGCCCTGACACCCACTGCCAGGCTGCCAGTGCCGCCCCCACGGCCTGACACTCACTGCCAGGCTGCCAGTGCCGCCCCCGTGGCCTGACACCCACTGCAGGGGTTTCTCCCCGGTGTGGATGCATCAGACACCTCCCCACACCCTCCCCCCCACGGCCCTGAGACCCTCCTTCCCGACACTCACTGCAGGGGTTTCTCCCCGGTGTGGATGTGTCTCAGACACCCCCCCCACCCCCCCCACACGTGGCCTGCAACCCTCCTCCCTGACACTCACTGCAACTGCAGGGGTTTCTCCCCGGTGTGGATGCGTCTCAGATACCCCCCCACACCCCCCCCCCCCCCCACGGCCCTGAGACCCTCCTGACACTCACTGCAGGGGTTTCTCCCCGGTGTGGATGCGTCTGTGGATGACGAGGTTGCTGCTGGTGCGAAAAGACCGGGCACAGAACTCACAGATGTAGTCGCGGGTGTCTGTGGGCACAGGAGGGGAGCTCCAGCCACACCCTCCTTGCCACCCCTGCCCGCCACTTCTGAGGCAAGGCACAGTGCCGCCGGGCAGGAGCCTGAGCTCCGGGAGCGGTCCAGACAGCTGAGCGAGGCAGGCACACAGGAAGCGCGCCCGGCTAGACTGCTGCATGGTCATCAGCTGCGCTCTCTCCAAGTGGAGGTGACCTGGGTCCCTCCGCGGAGAGTCAGGGAGTGGAATGCCTAGTCCGTGTGCATGGTTAGGAAGCGGCTCATGCAAGCGGAGGGTCAGGGACTGGAATTATAGTTTAAGCCCAACCCCGGGGACCCCGCACGTGGAATCATCTTCCCAGCAGGCTGGCCGACCTTACCGCTCCACATCCCCTTCCCTGCCTTTCAGGCCACTAATCTCTCCTTTTCCTGTACCAACCCTTCCTATTGGCTCCAGTAGCCCCTGCCTGTTGCCATGGTTACTGCGTCTCCAACAGCTCTCACGGGCTGCTGTGGCTTTCTCCTGTACCACAGCCTACAGTGCAACAGCTGTCCTTGCTTCCCTGAGTGCCTTCAGGCCTCTCCACTAACCACGCAGCCTCCCCCTGGGCTCCCGGCTCCACGCCGTCCACCCGCAGCCACCATCCTGCCTTGGGGCAGCCTCACCCCCTTCGGTCCCGGACACCCCTCAGCCGCTCCCAGGGGACACAGGAGCCCTCCTACCTGTGACCAGGCTCCTCTACCTGGCCCCAGGGTGGTGACCTCGTGACTCCAGACCCCCAGCCCCAGCCCATTACTGCCTCTGCTCTGCTGAAGCCCAGTACAACCCCCCGGCCTGCTCCAGACCTGAACCCAGGGCGGCACGGCTCCCCGTGACCTCTCCTTGCGCCCGGCCCTGTGCGTGCGCTCCCCTGGCTAGGTCTCTCTCTGCACCTTCTCCATCCGCATTCAGCAGTGCTCTTATGCTTTAAAGTCAACGTGGGCATGAGCCTCCCACTGTCTACACTGTCTGGAGCCCGCTCCATTCTGGCTGTCCTCGCTACACTTCAACCATTTGCCGGTTCTGTCTTGTTCTCTAAGCTAGGAAGATGTCAGGGCTACGTTTGGTGGGATGTTCGAACCCTCACCTTAGTGTGCCCTGGCTGGCAAGTCGCTTTCTGCACTTGTGTCTTCAAATGCCTCTTCCGTTCCCTTCCTCTCCTCCCACCTCAGGCCTTTTCTCCACTACCTCCCTACGCAGAACATTCTAGCCGTACACGCTAGCTGTACATCTCGCTCAAATTCTACATTCACGTCTTCTGGAATACCTAATCACCTTCTCTGATTTCAGGACCTCACACCATGGTCTGCCTAGCTGCTCGGGCTGGAGTCCTGAGTCTCCCCAAGCTCCTTGTCTGCCTTGGGACTAGCCCACTCTTACCCACCCAGCCTGTCTGCCACCACCTGCACACACTCGAGCCTCCAGCCACGGCTCACCAACCAGCATCACCATCCACGCGCACGAGCTCAGGAGCTCACCTGCCACCAACGCCCAGTTCCACCCATCTGCAGGCCCTGCTCTCCTCTCCACACAGCAGGTACAACAATCTTTTTGAAAGTCAGAGCCAACCTTATCTCTGATGGTCTCCTCGCACTCAAAGCTAGAGATGCCATCCTGACTCTGACCTTTCTAATGTGTGCTTAGAACACACCAGACCCCCGTTCCTCACTCCTCTCAGGTCTTCGCTGAGTCTTCCTTCTCCTTGCTGGTACCAGGGCTTCACCCTCCCTCGCTAGCCTGGTAACACGAGCCACTCCTCCAGCGCCACTTGTTGCTGGCTAATTGGAGTCATGGGAACTTTTCCACCTGACTAACTTCAGACCACAGTCCGCTGGCTCTCAGCCTCCTGAGTAGCTAGGTGTGAGCCACCAATGTCCAGCAACGTTTCTACAGAAGCAGCTTGTCCTTCGTGTTCTGCTCTTCTGGCTTTCAGTGATGTCTCACAGGAGCGTATGCTACCTTCTTTGTTCATGACCTTAGCGGCAACTACAAGTCTTGAGCAGACACGTGGACGTGGAATGGGGGAAGAGAGTCGTTGCTCAGGGGAGGGAAGGGCGCCACCGCACCACAGCGGGGCAGCGCAGCGCCGGCACTCACCACTGTGCAGCTTCACGTGCTCCTTCAGGTGCTTCTTAAAGTTGAAGGACTTCCCGCAGGCCGGCTCCGGACAGCAGAAGGACTTCTGGTGGAGGTGCTGGTACTTCTTGTGGTGCTGCAAGGAAGGTAGCGGTGGAGAAGGTGTGGGGGACTGGCTGAGCTGACCCAGCCGGCCGGGGCCCCAGACACCCTCCTCCTCCCCACACCGCAGCCATCCACCGTCGCCTGACCCTGACCCCGTCCTCACCTAGCCAGCCTACCAAACTGCCCTGTGGTGTGCTTGCCTCCCATCCGCCCACTTCCTCGCCACACCCTGCAACGCTTTGCAGTGTTCCTGTGCCAGGTACCTCTCTGGGCACATTCCTCCTTCCCAGCACAGGTCCAGTCAGCGGAAGGAGCACTGGGTGACCGTGTTTATTCCATCAACATGCCGCTCGCTCTCACGCTCTCTCTCTAAAATAACTTCAATGGGTAAGGGCTTTGTTCCCCCTCCCCTTTTTCTAAGTGCTAAAGATCTCATCTAGGGCCTCGAATACTGTAGACAAGTGTTCTACCACTCAGCTATACCCAGCCTAGGCAATGGGCCTACATCAACTTTAATCCTCCATTTATCTTTTCATCTGATCTAGTTTTGCATCTTGGATCATCATCATATTAGAGCTCTCTCGCCTTTTCCATGATCCTGGTTTACCTCCAATTTAGTCTCCTCCACAAAGCTCAAGCATGACCTGTTCCTGCCAAATGTCCTTCTTACAGTCTCAATGTTGCGTTGGGACTTTCCCCCGTTTCTCCACCACGCCTTGCAGTCCCTTTGGCTCTCGGCCCCTCACCCTCAGGGCCTGCTCCGCTAAAGGTCCAGGCCCAAACTCCCTGTGTGGTGTGGAGCCGCCCCTGCTCAGGAGATGCCTCTCAAGCCACGTGGGCCAGGCGGGCTGGGTCGGGGCTCAGAGCGCCAGCTAGCACCAGCAATGTGTGCCTCGGGGCCAAGTGGGAATAACATCAGCACCGTGTCCCTCCCCGGGGCTGTGGTGAGGGCCAGGGCTCACATGCAGCAAGTGCCTGCAACGTCGCTATCAGGCCACAGAGCCCGAGGAAGCTGGCACTGAGCGGCACTGGACCGGGGTGCTGCGTGCCTGAAGCTTCGTGTTCTGCCTCCCGGTCATTTAACGATTATTACAGGAAAGCTGTTTGCTTCTGGACTCCAAATCCCAACAACCCCAGATTGTCTCCTCCCCTGCCTTTTGTTGTTCTTTTAGTGGTGCCAGGGACACATCCAGGTCCTTGTGCATGGCAGACACTGAGCTATGCCCCTATGGGCTTCCTTTCTTCAGCTTTTCCCTGCGCATTGGCCGTAGGCCTCAATCTCGCCCCTCACATTCAGATACTGCCGGTTGGAGAAGATCCTTCCGCAGCCAGGGAAGTCACAAGGCATCAGCTCTCTCCTGGCAGCTTTCCTGAGGGAGGAAAGTAAGAAACAGCAGGACTCCTACCTGCTCTCCTTTCCTCCTCTCTCCCCTCCTCTTCCCAGAGTCTACCCCCCAAATCCTACCGAATTCTCTTGGGTCCAATCTGTGCAGTGTCCTGGTCTCGGGCTGGGGCTGACCGCGCCCGGCTCCCAGGGCTGTGGGCAGCAAAGAAGGAGCAGAGGGCCTCTAGGGAAGCGCATACAGGACACCCCTGCACTCCACCTGGGCCCACAGGTTACCTGGCCAGAGGCTCCGTCTGCCCGGCTGTCAGAGGGGTCCTGCTCACATCAACTCCGGAGCCGGCTGCGAGTGCGGGTGAAGAGCAGCCAGCAAGAGGAGTGGGGAGAGCCTCCGGCGCCTCAGCCGGGGAGCCAGCAGGGGCGCGGGGGTGGCCGGCCGACATCTGGTTCACTGCTAAAAGGAGAACCGGGGGTTGGACGTGACCCCTCCCCAGCCTTAACCGCAGCTGACAGATCTCAGATCCCCGTCACATCCGGCTTTGCCCCTGCTCACGGCCTCCATCTCCCCCACCCCCGCCACAAGACCGCCCCACAAGCCTGCCCAGGCCAACGCCGCCCCTCTCCTGTCCCACAACCCCAACTGGCTCATCTGGGGAGGAGCTGTAGGTCCACGGGCTGGCATCGCTGAGCATCTCCTCTTCATCTCCATCATCCTCATCTTCCTCATCTTGTTCCTCTCCAGGGGACGGGACGGGCTCTGCTGGGGGTCCTGCCCCCCTGGAGGCCCACGGAAGGCAAGCATGAGATTCTGCTCCCACCCCTACTATCTGACAAGTCCGGCCTGTCCGGCTCCGCCCAGCCCCCCGCCCATCGCTCACCTGGGCAGTTTGGCTTCTTGAGTTCTCTCTTGCTCAGACCCCAAACCTGTTGGCACAGACAGGGTCAGAGGGAAGGCGCGCTGGGGCCATGCAGGGAGGGGGTTCTGAGGTCTGGAGGAGGAAGGGAGGGCACCGCACAAAGGCTACTGGAACGGGGGAGGGGACTTTTTAAAGTATCACAAGGATACCTTAAAACATATTTCTAATACAATTGCATCGAAAAGCACAGTCCTTCCAGAGACTGATTCCAGCATGCGCCGGTGTATGAGGCCGTTTTTACCCCTAGGCCTGCTTTTTTGTATCTAGGGGTGTGAGACGGTTCTGCCAGCACTGACCCTGCGCAAGCTGGTTCTCAGCTCTCCCCCCCAGCCCAGCCTACCTGCCGGCTTGCTGCGCCTCCTGGCCTCCGGGCGCGGGGCCGGGGGCCTGCGTGGACTCTGTGGACGCTTCCGGGGACGCAGGGCGGACTGTGGGCTCCCAGGTAGAAGGTGTGGCCCGCCGAGCACTCCCACACGAGACCCCCGTCCCGGCCTCGGGGCCCCCGGAGCCCAGGCACCAGGCTGCATTCCCGGCTGTGCGCGTGCGACAGGAGCACCAGGCCCTGCAGGCCCTGGTGCGGCCCCGGGCTGGGGACCTGGAGGGCGGCGCGGGTCAGGCCAGGCCGTGCTGGGAAGAATGCCCCCCCCCCCAGCACCCAGCACCCACCTGCACAGAGGACGCAGCCTGGAGAGGCAAACCTGCGGACAGAGGCTGCGGTCAGAGCTCTCATGGCCCGCCTGGGCGGTCAAGCCCACAGGACCAGGCATGGACGCAGGCCTGGGGGAGGCCAGGGATGGACTGGGGGGCTGAGGATGACTGGGGGAGGCTGGGGATGGACTGGGGGAGGCCAGGGATGGACTGGGGGAGGGCTGGGGGAGGGCTGGGGATGGACTGGGTGAGGGGCGGGGGATGGACTGGGGGAGGGCGGGGGGATGGACTGGGGATGGGCTGGGGGAGGCTGGGGATGGGCTGGGGGAGGGCTGGGGATGGACTGGGGGAGGGCGGGGATGGACTGGGGGGAGGGCGGGGATGGACTGGGGGGCTGAGGATGGACTGGGGGAGGCTGGGGAAGGCTGGGGGAGGGCTGAGGATGGACTGGGGATGGGCTGGGGAAGGCTGGAGGAGGGCTGAGGATGGACTGGGGATGGGCTGGGGAGGGCTGGGGATGTGCTGGGGAAGGCTGGAGGAGGGCTGAGGATGGACTGGGGGAGGCCGGGGATGGACTGGGGGAGGGCGGGGATGGGCTGGGGGAGGGCGGGGATGGGCTGGGGGAGGGCTGGGGATGGGCTGGGGGAGGCTGGGGATGGACTGGGGGAGGCCTGGGGATGGGCTGGGGGAGGGCTGGGGATGGACTGGGGAAGGCTGGGGATGGGCTGGGGGAGGGCGGGGATGGGCTGGGGGAGGGCGGGGATGGGCTGGGGGAGGGCCTGGGGATGGACTGGGGGAGGCCTGGGGATGGGCTGGGGGAGGGCTGGGGATGGACTGGGGGAGGGCTGGGGATGGGCTGGGGGAGGGCGGGGATGGGCTGGGGGAGGGGCTGGGGGAGGGCTGGGGATGGGCTGGGGGGGGGGCTGGGGATGGACTGGGGGAGGGCGGGGATGGGTTGGGGGAGGGCTGGGGGGAGGGCTGGGGAAGGGCTGGGGATGGGCTGGGGGAGGGCTGGGGATGGGCCTGGGGGGAGGGCTGGGGATGGGCTGGGGGGAGGGGCGGGGATGGGCTGGGGACGGGCGGGGATGGGCTGGGGACGGGCCGCCCCGCGCCTCCGCCGCACCGGTCCAGCAGGAAGGCGGCCAGCTGCGAGTGCAGCGCGAAGCCCAGCCGCTCCTTGAGGCGGCACCAGCGCTCCGTGTGGCCGCCCAGGCGCACGCGGCCCTTGCTGCGGCGCGCGTCCAGCTGCCGCCCGCTTCTCCCGCCGCCGCTCGCGGGACGGCGTCCGCCCCGGGGGAGGCCATGGGCCGCGCCTGCAAGAGAGGGCCGCGCCGTCGGGGCTGGGGAGGGGGGGGCTGCGGGGCGGGGGGGGGGCGGCGGGGCGGGGGGGGGCGGCGGGGCGGGGGGGGGCGGCGGGGCGGGGGGGGCGGCGGGGCGGGGGGGGGCGCGGCGGGGCGGGGGGGGGCGCGGCGGGGCGGGGGGGGGGGCGGCGGGGCGGGGGGGGGGCGGCGGGGCGGGGGGGGCGGCGGGGAAGGGGGGGCGGCGGGGCGGGGAGGGGGGGCGGGCGGGGAGGGGGGGCGGGCGGCGGGGGGGGGCGGGGGGCGGGGGGGGCGGCGGGGCGGGGGGGGGGCTGAGGGGCGGAAGCACGGGCGAGATTCAGAACAAAAGCCCGGGACTTCCACCGAGAGGCGTCCACGGAGGACGGGGTCCGGGGTCCGGGGCGATCCCGGCGGCGCAGCCGCGGCGGGACCGGGGCCGGGGCCCGCCCCGCCCGGGCCCCGGGCCCCCCGCAGCCGCCCGCTCCCCGCCGGGCCGTCCGGTCCGCCGGGCCTTACCTTGGCGCCCGCCGCCTGCCTCGCCCGATGCGCCTGCGCCGCCCGGGCCGCTGGGACGGGGCCCACCCCGCACGCGCGCCGCCGTTTCTCCTTTAAGAAGAACCGGACCCGCGTCCGAGGCGGCGCCGGGAGCACCGGGAGGGGGCGGGGTCTGTGGGGGGCGGGGCCTGCGTGCGCCTGCGCACTGGGCCGTCCGCGCCGCCCCTCCCCCGGCTGCCCTTCTCCGCGTCGCCGAGCCCCGCGGAGCCGAACGCGGGATCTTCCACCCGGAGCGCCGCTCTCGCTGGCCAGCGCCTCCGGGCGCAGTGAGCCCCGTGTCCCCCCCGCTCCCCCCCG